CACCCCACCATACATATACAACTCACAACAAATAACTGAATTGCGTAAATTAAAAAATTAGTTAAAACTCACAATTTTTAAAAAACAATAAATACATTAAAAAAGAGTGTAGTCGTTTTCCAGACATACCCTTGTTTAGGAATAAAACGAGAGAAAAGAAGAGTAGAAAAATAACGTAAGAAAAATACATAATTAATTGGGAGTAAAACTAAAAAAGATACATTAAATTTTTAAATAAAAAAATGTATCTTATAAAAAAAACTGATGATATTGTAATTCATATTTACGATGAGGATAGTAAATGTTCAGTAGTATACTCTATCTTCTACATATCCTACAGTACATTATCCACACCAATTGAATGATATAATAAATCATCATTCAGTCAGTCACAACTCTATTCTTAGTCTAAAGTTGAAAGGATGGATAAAACAATTGTCGGCCACTAAAAGAAAAGGCGTGAAAAACGTTGTCGCAACTTTTATTGTTTCGTATATTACTTTGAAACTCTGAAGACCTTTTTCAGTTCTTTTTTATATCAAAAGCACATTTTGAACTAGTCCACACACTACTGTGTAATATAAAAATGAGATAATATTAAAATATTTTAATATCTGCATATATTGATATATGTGTGAGAATAATCTATTTATAAAAAATATAATAAAATCACAAGAGTGAAAACTAAAATGTAAGTTAAAGAAAGATCTAATGCGTTTTCAAAAAAGAAGAAGAAGAATTGCAACAAAATCTTAATAAAAAAATATAATTATTAAAAAGTTTTAATAGTAACTAAACAACTGTAATAATAAGTTTTAAAAGAAAATGACAACTTCTAATTTGTTATTGAGACTTTTTAGTAATTACTCTCTCGGATCCTAAATATAAAACCCATCTTATAATGTAATTTATACTACAAAATAGATCTTATATTTAAAATTGAGAGAGTATATTTTTTTCCTAGATTTCATTGTAATTCTCTTTTTCCAAAAAGGCAGAAACATCTCACAAACAAGATTAAAAAAAGAAGCCTATCATGTACCCAAAAGATGCATTTTTAAAAAAGGCCTACCACATGGTTTTCATATTTTTTCGACCCTCTTTCTTCCTGGTTCTCAAAAGTTGGGAAACGTATCATGAGCAAGATTACTAAAGAAGCCCATCATTGGTCATAAAAAAAAAAAAACATATTTAGAATATTCTCTTTTCTCCTTCTTCCTTGTCTCTTGTTCGGCTTTCCTTTTCCTCCTTCGGCTTTCTTCTTCTAGTTGGAGATCATCTGGTATTTGATTGCTTCCTATTTCTTACAGCACACTCTGTTTTTTAAACTTGTTCTTCTGTTTCCTTCAAGCTTCAGAAGAATCATTCTCAATCAAACATCCATTTCCTATTGAAGTCTTCTAGTTCTTGTGTCTAGCTACCATATATCTCTCTAGCCATTAATCACTCCTTGTTCTTCCCAATTTGCGGATCAAACTTGTTTTGCTGTTTTCCACATACAACCTACTTATCAAAAACCCAAAAAAAAAAGGTCTTTTTCCTGCATTAGTTTTGTTGTTCTTCCGATTTAGTGACTACTTTTTGTTTAGTTATTTGTTACTTTTGTGTAGTTAATAGCTATATAAAAGTAATTACCGGAACTTTGAAAACAAAAATAGTTAATAGTTAAACTATAATAATCAATAGCTATATGAAAGTAGTCACTGAAAATAAGGATAGTGTTGTTATTTTACAATATTTGACAATTTTAAAATGGTACCTGAGATCTGAATTGAGATTTTAAAATTCACATACCCCTATTTGCTATTTAGTATTTTTAAGGGTATTTTATTGTCTTTTTTTCATTTTCTTATTCTCGTTCTTATACCTTTTCTCTCTAATAAACAAGAGAATTTTTGAGAAAGGACTTCTAATTTTTATCTATTTATTGTCTTTCACGAATTTTTCGATCTACATAATGGAGTCTTATGTTACTTATAAAAAGGGACGGAGGGCGTAATATGTAAAATCAAAATAGTATAAATGCAGCAATAAAAATAGTACTATCATCGGTCTTTAATATATGAGCTAGTTGACTAATTTAAGTAGATTAAAAAAGTTTGTTAAATTAATTATTTATAATATATAGGTGTTATCTTTCCTAAAATATCCTTACTAATCATATCTATTAGCTATAACTATTTTGATGGAATCTTTAATATGCGCAACTACTAGAAAGACTATTTTAGAGAAATAGATAAATACGAGAGACAAAATGGATTTAGATCTTATATTTAAAACCAAATTAAATTTCAAACTAACTCTTATATCAAAAAACGGAGATATTAGTTATTAATTCTAAGATCTGACGGGTGATCACCAACATCTATGTTAGGACTATTTCATTGGAGCTTCTTTCAAGTTGCAGATTTGAAAGGAAACAAAGGTTAAAAAAGTTTGATTATATTTTTCAAAAATTAATCTTATAAACCAATTATATAATTTCATTACCACTAAACTCAATTTTTCCAAGTCAAATCCAAACATACCCTAAATTTTTCTTGCAGATAAGGAATAATAAAAGAACTTAATAAAATCAGCATCAATCTCTAAAGTATCTATGGGGAGGAAACAAACAAAGATGTGATTCAATTAGGCAATAGATCACGAGATGGGAGCCGCACAAAGCATCTACGTACAAAGAACAAACTTGATCATTATTCAACCAAATCATTGGAGTGATCACTAATCTATGACTTAGTTATTACTTCCTCCCATCTTATATACAAGTTACAAATAACTAAATTATATATATATATTAAAAAATTGGTTAAATTTTTTAAAAACAACAAATCTGCATAAAAAATATAATCGTTTTTCATGTATACCCTTATTTAGGAAGAGAGACAAAATGAGTTTAAAAATGTAATTAATTGAGAGTAAAAATAAAAAAAATGTTAAATTCATAAATAAAAATAAGATGTATCTTATAAAAAAAAGGGATCATGTCTCAAAAATTCTAATTTACTTTTACGATGAGGGCAATAAATTTGTATCTTCACTGGCTTTCTCTCTCTATATGTATGTATATCCTCCAATTATAGATAGAAATAAGCTAGGCTTTTTGCAAACTTAAATTCAGGTCTTAAAAAAGCCAATACACAAATTCAAAGTCAGGATTAGGCTTCAGATATTTATAATAACCTAAGTCTATTTAGCTAAAACCTACACTAGTATCGCCTATTTTCATTCCTACCCACCATGCATTAATCCATAGTAATTGAATTAAATAATAAATCATCATTCAATCACTAAAACCGCTATTATTAGTTTAAACTTTCAATCGGCAAAACCGCCATTCTGGATAAAAGCATTGTCGGCCAAAGAGGAGGCATGAAAAACGTTGTAGTAATTTTTTATTGTTTCGTTTTTTTACTTTAATTCTCTGAAAGCGTTTTTCAGTTTTTTATATCAAAAATACATTCTCAATTAGTCCACACTAATAAAATTAGTTAGAAATTAATTTTTTTAAAAAATACTTATAGTATGACATATGTAACATAAAAATGAGATAATATTGGAAGATTTTAGTATTCTGAATATATATGTGTGTGTGTGTGAGAATAATCTATTTATAAAAACTATACTAAATTATAAGAGTGAAAAAATAAGTTAACGATCTTAAAAACGACAACGACTTTTTTTTTTTTTTTTTGAATAAAGACGTTGAACAAGTGACAAAAAACCTACAAGCAAAGAGACAAAACCAGACCTAATTATCCTAGATCATCAGCCCCCACCTCCTGTGTGAAAGGTGGCTGTTGATCAAAAAGACAAAAAATTCTCTGATCTCCATGAGCAGACTTAGCTAACAGATCAGCAATATTGTTCTGTTCCCTATCCATAAAAGTAAGATGAACCTGCCAGTCCCTATACATCATCATCCTGGCATCCAAAATAATATCATTGAACGGGTGGTCCCCCTCGCAGCCCCTTGACAATAAATTTAAAACACTAACACAGTCAGAGCGAAGTAAAATTTTCCTGTAGCCTTTTTCCCAGCAAAGTTGTAGCCCGTGCATCACTCCCAGAAGTTCTGCCATAGCTGGAGGCAAGGACAACGACTTTCACATCTCCCCATAATGCGTTTTCAAAGCTTTTTAAAAAGAAGAAACGCATCACAAAGAAGATCAAAAAAGAAGCCTATATGGCATAGCCACAATATTTTTTTTAGGTTCAAATGTAAATTTGTTTAGGATGTTTTTACTCAGAAATAATGAGTATCTGAAAAAAATTTTGAGTATAAATTTATTCTAAAAATTTAAAATCGTAATAATCTTGTATTACTGAGTGAAAACTTCCTAAAAAATTTTAATTTGTTCCTTAATCCTATTTTTTTTTTCCTCTTTCTTTCTCATATCATCTCCTGTTCATCTCTTTTTCCTCCTCCTGCTTTCTTCTTCCAGTAGGAGACCGTATGATATTCATTATTTCCTATTTCTCAAACTTTTTATCAGCACTCTCTAATTTTTAAACTTGTGCTCTTGTTTCCTTCAAGTTTCAGAAGAAATCATTTCAAATTAAACATTCATTTCCGAAGAATTCTTCTAGTTCCTGTGTCTACCATATATCTCTCTATTCATTGCTGCTTGTTCTTCCTTCAGATCAAGCTTGTTTCGTCGCCGTTTTCCACATGCAGGCTACTTATATTGGGGGGGAAAAAGTCATTTTCCTGCATTAGCTTTATAGAGTCTGGGGAAGGGAAACTAATAAGACATCAGTTTTATTGTTTTCTTGTCAATCAGATGCCCATAAAAATCTAAGGAGAAAAGAAAAGAAAGAAATCTCCTTTCAGAGGTTTTTTTTTTTTCCTTGCTCTTAAATTCACATATGAATTTTTGTTTTATTGAAAAAATGTTTGTCTCATTTGGACAAAGTTTTGTTGTTTTTCATTTTGATCAACCTTTTATAAAGTTAAAAAGAACAAAAAGACAAAATCTCTGCCTTAGATATTTTGTAGCTAATGGCACCAACTAGATATTTAGTTTTAAGTTTTTAGGCAGAATAATTAATTTCATCTTTGTATGTAATGGATGCACCAAGTTTACAAGTTATAACCCAATTAAGAGATTTAAATTAGTAAAGTCTTGAAGCAGAGAATTATTTTTTTCCCTTTGATGTGATTTCGTTGAATATGTATCTCAAAAAGTCCTGGAGGCAGGAAGCCCTTTTTTTTTTTTTTTAACTGTATCTGTTAATATGTAAAATCAAAATAGTAGAAATCCAGCCATAAAATAGTAGTTATTAAATTCCAAGATCCGATCTGAAAATCAGCTAACATATTTTAAGACCATTTCATTGGAACAAGCTTCTTTCAAGTTGCAGATTTTAAAGGAAACAAAGATAAAAAGTTTAATTGTATTTTTCAAAAACTAATCTTATAAACCAGTTACATAATTTCATCACAACTAAACTCCAATTCAAATTCAAACATACTCTTAATTTTTCTCATAGACAAGGAAAATAATAACAGAACTGAATAAAATCAGCATCATTCTCTAAAGAACAACCAAAACTATAACTCAATTATAGATACTACACCCATCATAAATATAAGAGCTAGTTAAAAGTCTTAAATATAAAATTCTAATTTATTTTGTATCTCAAATTTATAATGTGTTCTAAAAAAATCCCTATTGATTGTAAGGTATTTTTATTAAAGTATAATTTTAATATACATGATTAAATAAAAATAATTTAAGAAAATCAACATATATTTGTTATACTTAACTAATTTTTGTTATCTTTCCAAATTAATTATGTAGTCCTTATATTAAGTACTGGGCAGTAATAGATTCCGAGGTGGGAGGCACACAGAACATCTACGTAAAGAAAACAAACTTGATCATTATTCAACCAAATCATTGGAATGATCATTAATTTAGTTATTTCCCCCCCATGACCCCATCATATATATACAACTTACAACAAATAACTGAATTGCGTAAATTAAAAAATTAGTTAAAACTCAAAATTTTTAAAAACATAAATACATTAAAAAAGAGTGTAGTCGTTTTCCAGACATACCCTTGTTTAGGAGCAAAACGAGAGAAAAGAAGAGTAGAAAAATAAAATAAGAAAAATACATAATTAATTGGGAGTAAAAATAAAAAAGATACATTAAATTTTTAAATAAAAAAATGTATCTTATAAAAAAACTGATGATATTGCAATTCATATTTACGACGAGGATAGTAAATCTTCAATGGTATACTTTATCCTCTATATATCTATATATCCTGCAGCACATTATCCGCACTAATTGAATTACTCTATATGATAAATCATCATTCAATCGGTAACACCACTATTCTTAGTCCAAACTTGAAAGGACAGATAAAACGATTGTCGGCCACTAATAAAGAAAAGGCGTGAAAAACGTTGTAGCAGCTTTTGCTGTTTCGTTTATTACTTTAAAACTCTTGGAGACTTTTTCAGTTATTTTTTATATCAAAAATACATTTTGAACCAGTCCACACTAATAAAATTAAGTAAAAAATTAAGTTTTTGAAAAAATAATTATATCATTACTGTGTAATATAAAAATGAGATAATTTAAATATTTTAATATCTGCATATATTGATATATGTGTGAGAATAATCTATTTATAAAAAATATAATAAAATCACAAGTGTGAAAACTAAAATGTAAGTTAAAGAAAGATCTATTGCGTTTTCAAAAAAAAAAAAAGGGAAGAATTGCAACCAAGTCTTAATAAAAAAATATAATTATTAAAAAGTTTTAATAGCAACTAAACAACGTGCAATAATAAGCTTCAAAAGAAAATGACAACTCCCAATTTATTATTGAGACTTTTTAGTAATTACTCCTTCCAATCTTAAATATAAAACTCATTTTGTAATGTAATTTATATTATAAAATGAATTTTATATTTAAATTTGAGAGAGTATATTTTTTTTCCTAAACTTCATTATAATTCTCTTTTTCCAAAAAGGCAGAAACATCTCACAAACAAGATTAAAAAAAGAAGCCTATCATGTACCTAAAAGATGCATTTTTTAAAAAGGCCTACCACATGGTTTCCATATTTTTTCGCCCCTCTTTCTTTCTCATCTCTTGTTCCTCTTTCGTTTTCCTCCTGTTGCTTTCTTCTTCTAGTTGAAGATCATCTGGTATTGATTGCTTCCTATTTCTCACCCCACTCTCTGTTTTTTAAACTTGTTCTCCTGTTTCCTTCAAGCTTCAGAAGAATCATTCCAAATCAAATATCCATTTCCTATGAAGTCTTCTAGTTCTTGTGTCTAGCTACCATGTATCTCTCTAGCTATTAATCACTCCTTTTTCTTCCCAATTTTCAGATCAAACTTGTTTTGCTGTTTTTCACATACAAGCTACTTATCAAAAACCACAAAAAAAGGTCTTTTTCCTGCATTAGTTTTGTTGTTTTCTTGTGAATCATATGCCCATAAAAATCCCAATAAAATTCCCTTCAACGGTTTTCCCCCCTTCCTCTTAAGTTTACGTAGAAAATTGTTTTCCCCTCAAAAAAATGTTGGCGTCTGGTTTGAGCAAAGTCTGTTGTTTTCCATTGTGATCAATCTTGTATATATAAAAATCTCGGGGAAAAAAAAAAAGGTTTGCCTTGGAGAATTTGGATTTGTTGTTTTCTTGTCAATCATATGCCCATAAAAATCTTAAAAAAAAAAAAGTGGAAGTGTCTGGTTTGAAGAAAGTCTGTTGTTTTTTGTTGTGGTCAATCTTGTATAAAAGTCTCCAAAAAAAAAAAATCTTTGCCTTAAAGATTGTGGTAGTGTCTGCTTCATCTATAGAGTTCACGAGAGACAAGAAGTTGTGTTGATCAGTACTGTTGGTAAATTCTGACTCTTGAGGGTTTTAAGTTTTCAGATAAAATAATTAAGCAAGAGTGCCATGATTGAAATGCCTAATCTGTTTCTTATCAATCACAGGACTTTCTCACAGCTGAGGCAAAGACCACAGCCACAGCATATCCTCATCTACTTCAGGTAACTTTCCTTCCTTATTGTTGTTTCTATCAGTGTTGTTTTTATTGATGATACTGATAGAGATGCCGCTTCTCGTTACCTCAATTTCTGTTGTTTTTGTTCTTTTTCCGGAAATAACTTATTTCCTAAAGCATACAGTAGATGGAAAGAGTTTTATCCTCGTCGGAATTAGGGACAATCTCAGACTGATCTAGTGAGTGTTTGGCTAACATGAAAAGTCTTTTTTAAAAACATTTTTCGGTAAATAAAGATAAATTCTTTCAGATATTTATTTCGTATACTGTAAAATTACTTTGAAAACCATGATTTTGATTAAATCCAAACACCCTCTTAATATCCGACCAATTTTACGCAAAAATGGACCACCCTCCCATTCTATACGAAAGCTATCCCACCTATGTGAAGAAGAGAGATCAAGTGAGTTGAATGATATATTTAATTCTTCTCTATTAGTTAATATATACCTAACTATAAAGATAGTTTTGATTTTAAATATAAAACTTATTTTTTATGTTTATTAACTTTTTCTAAATTACTGATACTTTTTTAATTATATGAGGATATAATAAAATCGGTTAAAATATTTTTTTAAAAAAAGACATATTTATTATAATTATTTAACTTATAATTTTTTAAATCTAATTAAATTAATTAAATAAATTTATATTAAATTAATACAGTGAAGTACTCCTTCCGTTCCTTATTATAAGAGACATTTGATGCTTATAGCATGTTCCTATATATAAAAGACACTTACAAGTTGTCTCTACTTTTTTGTGTTGATTTACTATTTTACCCATATTTATTATCTCCAACTCACACTCTCTCTCTCCCACTTCTCTTTCTTTTAATAATTTAATTGTTCTCTCTCATGCTCTCTCTCCTTATTAATGAGGGTATTTTTGGAAAAAAAATTATAATTTTTACACATTAATTGTTCTTAACTAATTTAAACTGTTTTTTTTATCAACGTACTTCGGTTATTTGTCTCTTATAATAAGGAACGGAAGGAGTACATCTTATATGGACATCAATACGAGCACGTGTCATATCTAAATCAGTTAAAAATTACAGCTAAGCATGAGCTGGATACATTTACACTAAGAACCTACTCTTCTGACCTTGGATTTCAATAGCCAAGCTAGGCCATGAACTTTGTGTTTTCAAACTTTATTTGCGCCTCTTTAATTTATCAATGTTTAATTAAAAAATTAGTTAAAATTAGTTTAAAACAATAAATATATAAAGTATATATATTTTTTAAAAGATGTTCTTATTAATAAAAAGAACAAATAAAAAATATAATGAATAAATTAAAAATATATATAAGGAGTAAAATTAAAAAAAAACTCATTAAATATTTAGAAAAAAATAAATATTATCTTATTAAAAAATGAAAATGAAGCTCTTATAATGGAATCAAGATGATGCAATCTCACTTAAATTAACTTTTTTTTTTAAAACTCTGCCATTGACACCTGGACCATTTTTTTGGGAATAATGACACCTCAGTCGTTTCCATATGCCCCATGCTCTCCGTCCTCCCTGGAGGCTTGTATCCAATTGTAATTGACTGATGCGAAGGATACGGAAAACAGGAAAAGTAGGAAACTCAGGGCATTTATTATTAATAAATTATGGAAAAAAAATTTTAAGGATGTATTTAGATTGATAGTGATAAAACTGATTTTCATTTTAAGTCATTTTTATAAATCTAAATTAAATTAGAGTTAGATTGATATTTATAAAAAGTTAGTTGAAAAAGCTAAAACTTATATGGATGATTAATAAAAAAACAAGTTTAGATATAAAATGACTGAAAAGTATATAAATTTTATTAAATAGTAATATTTTAATATTAATATGATAATTGTAAAAAATATTAAAATTATAATTATAAAATAAAATACTGGTTAGTGAGAAAATTTTAAAAATACATTATAGATAATTAAATATATATAATTGATTTGGAAAGATTAACGAAGTTAAATAAATTACTTTAAAATATTTATATTTATCTTTTTTTAAAATTAATTTGCATGATTTATAAACTAATATGTAATCTCATGATACACATAAATATTTTACAGAAATTATATAATATATGATATAATTAAGTAATTTATTTAGTTTTTTTTAATATCTTCAAATTAACGTACTAATATTTTATATTAAAAGTCTAGAAAGCGCTCTTTCTCTCTTTCTGGCAAAAAAGTAGAAATATCCATGTGGATCATATTGGCTTGCCGTGTAGAAGGCAGAAGCTACTCTATGGAGCTTTGGAAAAAAAATATTAGTTTAGAGGATAAGCTTATTTCCCCCATCCAAACATCTCTGATCTTCAAATTTCTTTCTAACTTACATTTCACATTGTTCAATGTGCGTTCACCTTCCAAACGCATACCAAACACGCTCTAAATAGTTCCTCACATCCTGAAATGCCTCTACCTACCACCTCAACCTTCATTTGGGGATACTCATCAAGTGAAGTATTTACACTTTATAATGCAAAAAACAATTGCATTGGTGTATTCGGGTTTAGTTTGAACCTGGCGAATTTCTTAGAGCTAGCTTAGGAAAACCAATTTTAAGAAAAACACAAGTTTTTAAGGCTTATTTAGGCTGGCTAGTTTGGCCTAAATTACCAATTTTATTTAGGAGGTGTTTTGATGAAATCAAAACCATGGTTTTAAAAGTATTTTTACGGTGTACAAAGTAAATATGTGAAGGAATTTATCTCGTTTTACAAAAAAGTATTTCAAAACACCTCGTTAACCTTGACATCTTGATATAGAACTTATACTTGGCTCTTGGTCTTTTTTTGCTTTATTTATACCCCTTTTCTTTGATCTTTGATGAATTTTCTCTTTTTTCTTTTTAAATTGTGGGCTTTTTTCTTTTAAATGTAAAAACAGATGTCTAATCTTTGTACTTCTAATTATTTGTTACATTTTTTTTTTCCAAACTTTATCTTCTTAAAAGTGCCTAATGAGTTGTGATATATATATATATATATATGAATGTGTGCTCTTGAATCTTAAAAAGGCTTAGAATGATTTTGAAAACCTATGATTAATCTCTTCATATAAATTTAATATTGTGAAGTAACATTATACCAAATGTCACCTCTAATGATATAAAATTAAGATACAGTAAATTGATCATCACGAGTCCAACAGTGATACGCTTGCAGTTGGGTCATTGGTGCTTGGACTAGTGTATTGATTGTTGGTTCAACGGCCCGTTTGAAATGTAAAACCTCGTTTAGGCCCAACATTATTTTGGGTCAATTATTTAGGCCTATGTGCTGGGGAGTCTTAGCCCTTTTCAAACTTTCCACTAATTCGGTGTGGGTTAATGCTTAGACTCAAAACAACTGTTGTCTAATTGTATAATTATGGTTCCATCAGACCAAAACCAATGGAAAAATTGGGGCTAATCATTTATAAAATTCATAATCAATTGAAAAAAAAATTAACCAACAAAGTTGAATTTAATAAAAAGGGCTAGTTTCTAATAATGTGGTTTACTAATATTTAAATTCCTATTACGAAAGGCAGTATCTCACATGAGATCGTCTCTAATAAAAAATATATGCTTAGTGCAAAGAAAGAAGAACAAGAAAAAGGAAGGCTTTCATTAAACTGAGCAAAGTAAAGCCGCGTCTTCCTAGGGAAGACAAGACGAAAGCAGAGACAAATACTCACATGAATAATACACACATTCGTTGTTGGGGGGTCAAAGAAGAAGAAGAAGAAGAATAATACCCAGATTCATTGAACCCTTCGACGCTAGAATTAATAACTCGAATTTGAAATTGAAAGCTGTTTCGAATTTACGACTGATCATACTGCCTTTTATTAGTTAAAGCCAAGCAATTGCATGCTTGGGCGTGGTTTATGTATGCGTCCCTTCTTCGTCATTTTCTTCGGGGAGTCATTATTATAACTGTGACCCCTGTTTATCGAAGCTTTAAATTTCTTATCGTTTTATCCAGGAAGTAAGAATGGAGGTTCTTGCTGCTATTGTTGGAAAAATAGCAGAGTTAACTGTTATGCCCATTGGAAGGCAAGTGGAATATTTATTATTTTACAAAGGGAACTTTAAGGAGCTAGAGAAGAAAATTGAGGAGTTGAAGACAAGAAAAGTTCGCGTCGAGCATGATGTTGAAGCAGAAAGAAGGAATGGAGGAGAGATTGAAGATGAAGTACTAAGTTGGCAAAACAGAGTTGACGATACCTTGGAAGAAGTAGAGAAACTTCGTGAAGATCAACTTCGTGCTAGTGTACGGTGTTGGAAATGGTCTTTTCCTAATTTGATATCACGACATCAACTTGGTAGAAAAGCAAAGAAAATGACATTCACCATTTCTGAACTGAAGGACAAGGGGAAGTTTGATGGTGGAGTTGGGTATGTTCCTACTTCTAGCATGGGTAACTTAATTTTTGCGACTCGAGGTAGTGAAAAGCTTGACTCAAGAAACTCAGTGAAGGAGGACGTTATGTTGTCTCTAGCTGACCCCAAAATAAGCAAAGTTGGAATTTATGGGTGGGGGGGAGTGGGAAAGACCACTCTAGCTAAAGAAGTTGCCAGACATGTTAAGGATAGAAAGCTGTTTGATATGGTGGCCTTTGCAACTATATCCCAACCGTTGGATGTTGAAAGAGTTCAAGATGAGATTGCATATCAATTAGGCTTCCACTTGGATGAGAAGATTTCAATTGGAAGAGCTGACCGCCTTTTTGCAAGGATAAAAATGGAGAAAAATGTCCTTATCATACTAGATGACTTGTGGGAGAAAATAGATTTGGACAAGTTGGGAATTCCATCTGAGCAAGATCTTAAAGATCGAAAATTATCATTCACTTCTAAACGTTTAGATATTTCACAGAAGAATGAAACTTATCAGGGTTGCAAATTATTGTTGACTTCTAGACGGTTAGATATTTTACAGAAGAATGAGACTCAAAGTAACTTTCTTATAAAAGCATTAGATAATGCAGAATCATGGAGTTTGTTTGAAGATATGGTTGGTGATGCTGTTAAAGATGCTGATTTGCAGAACATAGCAACCCAAGTGGTTGAAAGATGTGCAGGTTTGCCTGTTATGATAGTCTCACTGCAAAGGCACTAAAATTTAATAAGAATATTCATTATTGGACAGATGCCTTGAACAACTTAAAGAGAGTTGATAATAGGGACATGTATGGGACTGTTTTTTCAGCTTTTGAATTTACTTACAACCGCCTGGGAGATGATGAAATGAAGAAAGTATTCTTGCTATGTGGTGCAAATGGACCGTTCATGTGGTTTAGTGACTTGTTAAAATATGTGTTTGGTTTGGGTGTTTTGAAACACATAGATACCATTAAAGATGCAAGAAATCGGCTGTACAGAATAATTGATGACTTGAAGGCATCTTGTTTGTTACTTGAGAATGATGCAAACAAGACCGATGAGATCGAAATGCATGACATTGTTTGTGAAATAGCTGTTTCAATTGCTCGTAAGAGTGAACATGTTTTTGCATTGAGAAATGATAGGATACAAGATTGGCCAAGCAAGAGATTTCTTGAAAGGTGTACTCAGATAATCTTAAGCGATTGTTTTATCCAAGAGCTTCCTCAAAAGTTAGACTGTCCTAATTTGAAATTTTTCCTCTTAAGTTTCAATGAGAGTTGCACTTTGAAAATTCCAGACTCTTTTTTTGAGGGAATGGGAAGCCTTGAAGCATTAGATTTGACAGGCTTGATAATACCTGCACTGCCTATATCTCTTCTTTCCTTGACCAAGCTTAAAACATTGGCTTTGTATCAATGCACTTTGAAAAATATGGCTGGAATAGGTGTTTTGACAAATTTAGAAATTCTTACTTTTTGGGATTCATACATAGTGGAGTTCCCGAGTGAAATAGGACAACTGACTCGTATAAAAATGTTGGATATGACAAAGTCTAGAATTAAGATCATCCCATCCAACATTTTGTCCAAGTTGACTAAAATAGAGGAACTTTATATGGGCAATGCCTCAATTAAGTGGGAGGAGGAAAGTTCAACTAAGCAAAACAAAAGTGCTAGTCTTGCTGAGGTTGGGCGTTTAACAAGCCTGACTACTTTAGAAATTCAAATTCCTGAGGCTTGGATGCTGTCGAGGGACATGATGTTTGAAAAGTTAGAGAGATACGAGATTGTCATCGGAGATAAATGGGAATGGTCAAGGAACAAAAGAACCTTAAGGTTGCTAAAGCTAAAGCTTGATACTAGCATTCATTCGGAGCATGGGATTAAAGCATTGATTAAACAAGTGGAAGATTTGTACTTAGATGAAGTCAATGGAATTTCGGATGTACTTTTCGATTTGAGTGGAGAAAGATTTCCTCTGCTAAAGTATCTCCATATCCAAAATAATGGCCAGCTTCAGCATATCATCAACACAACAGAGTGGAATGAAACTCATGTTTTGTTTCCAAAATTGGAGACACTAATACTTCACAATCTCAATAACTTAGTGAAGATATGTGATGGCCCACTTCCTGTTAATTCCTTTGGAAAACTCACAGTCATCAAAGTCAAAAGCTGTGATCAATTGGTATATCTCTTTTCTGTTTTGATGGGGAAAGCTCTTTCTCAACTTGTTGAGCTCCAAGTTTTGGAATGCAGTTCAATGAAGAGGATTGTGTTAATTGAAAATGATGATAGTGGAATAAGTAGTGATGAGAAAATTGAGTTTCAATCACTGCGCTCCTTGAGTCTTTGTCATTTGCCAGTCATCCATGATTTTTGCTCAAATGAATTGACATCTTTTATGACAGCCACATCATTATTTAATGGCACTAAGGTATGTTTCTTTTTCATTCGTTTGATAATTTTGTTATTTACAATTTAGATCAAATGACCGAATCATAAGTAACTGTCACAATGATCATGTATGGTATTTTTTAATATATATATATATATATATAGAAGTGGAATGTCAAATTATTAATGTAATGAGGTACTCCCTCCGGATAAATGACGTTTTTAGAGAAAATCTTAATTTTTTCCTAACAAATTTGTTTGATAAATTATAGACAAGTCCTAAGATTCTCTAATATCAATTTTTAACACATGCGAAATTTCTAAAATGCTATTCTAAACCTTCGACCTTTGAGCACCATTGATGGGTGACGAGCTGGTAAGTACTAGAACCAGCAGGGCATTAAAAAATTATCATTACTATTTTATAAATAATTAATTTAAATATGATTATCTTTTTTATGAAGTAAATATGATTATTTTAATAATATTTTCTTGTAACAATTTACAAGCCAATCTGCACTATTTACAAGTCATACATTATTTACAACTTATGTCCTTTCTCACACGTTCTTCAAATTTTATAAATCCATTTATGATTCTTCGGCTGTTATTTTGAACTCATAAATGCTTCCTAATCCTTTTCATATTACAATTGATCAGTTCTTTCAACTGCAGTTGAAATTTTTGTATTTACAAAACTCAACAATGAACTTTTCTCCGACGTCATCCAAACCTATACATTTTTTATATATAAAATACAGTTTTTATTTTTATTTTTAAAGAAAACTTCTTATTATGCTGGGTTATTTAATTTACATTTATAATACTATAATTAGTGTCATAGTAATATATTAATACTCAAGTGTTGTCTTGGCCGACATGATCTTCAAGCTTGTTTAACAAATCCATTTTCCTACTTGTTTAAATGATAGTTTTGTACAAACGCATTTACTTTTTAGAAGATGTTTGCATAATAAATTTTTACAAATCCATTGTAATATGCCACTTGTTAAAATTAATTTTTATGGGGTGAAAATTTTTTCAATTCGAAAAAAAATCAATTGCAACATTTGAAAAACACATAAAAATACACATTTTAAAGTTTAACTTGCAAAATTTAGAAAAAAAATTGTAAATAATCAAAACTTTAAAAATCTTACAAGCAATTTATGAGGTGAAAATAGAAAAGAGTTAAAAAAGAAAAGAGTAATAAAATATGAAGACATAATTTGTAGAACAGGTGAGAAAAAGCTTTGAATGGATTTGTAAAATTTGAATATGAAAATAAAAATTAGTTGGGTGGTGAATTGATGCAAAGTTTTATTTGCAAATAGCAGACGTAGATTCGTAAATTGTTATCGGGAAATATTATTAAAATAATAGTATGTAAATAAAATATTACTACTTCCGGTCCTTAATATAAGATCCTGTTTGACTTTTAGTTTGGTCCTAATTATAAGATCCCAATCCATTTTATCTCTCATATTTATGCATTTTTTTCCAAGATAGTCCTTCTAATAATGATAGTTCTAGCCAATATACTTAATTAGCAAAGATATTTTAGGAATGATAACACTTATTTATTACAAATAACTAACTTAACTTGCTTCCTTAATTTCTTTAAATTAGTCAACTAGGTCTTATAATTAGGAATGGAAGCAGTATTAAAATTTTAATTAATTGTCATCCTGTCAACGGCCAAAGGTCTACAAGTCATAAAAATTGTAGCCAAATTCTGAGACTTGTATATAATTTATTAAATTCACGAGACCAAATTATCGATGGCTCTCTCAGTTTGGATCAAATTGTCATCTTTCCCTTTTCTTTTCATTTACCGAGTTGAAATTAACACATTGTTTCTATCACAGGTTAGTTTTCCTAGTTTGGAGACCCTGAAGTTGAGTTCAATCAATCTGGAAAAAATTTGGGATGATCATCAACTTTCTGCAGCGAATTGTATTCACAATTTGGCTAACTTGATAGTTGAGGATTGTAGAGGCCTCAAGTATTTATTCTCATCATCTGTGATTGGAAGTCTTTTAAATCTTAGACACCTTGAAATAAGCAAATGTGAGATGATGGAGGAGATCATTGCTCCGAGCAGCATTGTTTCACAAGAGGTATTACGATTAGACTTGAAATAAGTGTTAAGTCGATAACATCAAACATTTGCCCTTGTGTGGTTCCGTTCAATATCATTCATATATAATGTTGGTGCTTTTGGATTTGTAAACTGTGCTTTGTAACACAGGTCCGATTCTCAAAATTGGAGACGATGGTAGTTAAAGACATGGAAAGCTTGAAGAAAGTATGGCACTTTCAATTTGATAGGTTAAGGAGTTTGGAGGTAAGCAATTGTGGGAAACTTGCGAACATTTTCCCATCTGATATGCGGGGAACGTTTGGAAGCCTTGAGACATTGAAGGTCAGCGATTGTGGTTCAGTGGAAGAGATATTCGAATTAACTGCCAAAGACATCCGTAATGAAGAGGAAACAACGACACAACAAGTCTCACAATTGAAGAAACTCCATCTGTTTCACTTGCCAAAGCTGAAACAGATTTGGACTAAAGATGCTCAAGAAAGTCTTCGTTTCCACAACCTGCAACTTGTGTGGGTTGAAGACTGTCAGAACTTAGAATACCTTTTTCCATTCTCCACTGCAATGCAAGCCACTCAACTGGAAAGTATTTCCATAAAGTATGCACGGAGTTTGAAATATATTGTTTCAGGCGACGGACCCATGGACAGTCCAGTTAAATTTGCGTTTAATCAATTGACCTCATTGGTGTTTTGGTGGTTATTTCAACTAGAGGGATTTTTTATTGGAAATCATAGTTTACTACATCCATTATTAAGGGTAATAGATATTCGTCAATGTAGGAAACTGAAGCTCTTCAAGACACAAAGTTCGAGTGGCAGAGAAAATGCTTTTCATGGTAAAGTCCAAATCTCATTGCAGCAGCCTCTTTTTGCACTTGAAGAGGTATAAGAATTATTGTATAAAAAACATTAGTTTATTTAGGCACCATAAATATCTCAATGCATGCATAATAATTTTATATATTCAAAAAAATTAATCAGGTTTGATTATGGGTGCATTCGTTACTCGCTTCTTGTCTCTGTTGTATCTCTTTGGTTATATTGCTTTGATCCAATGCTTTTTGGTTTATGCCATATGCAGGTACTCTGCAACTTGGAGATGTTGGCGCTAAATAATGAGGATGCAAGCATGATATTACAAGGGCAATTTTCACAAAAACACTTCAACAAACTCAAATCTCTTCGTTTGGCAAATTTTGAAGATGATCATGCCAATTTTCCCTATTGGTTTCTCCAAAACATAACCACTGTCGATGATCTACTTGTTGAATGGAGTTCTTTCAGGGAGATATTCAAAGAAGAAATACCTATAGATGACAAAGGAAAATCTAAAACTGGAGCACGACTCAAAACATTGAGACTCTATCACTTGGATGATCTCCAGCATATATGTACAGAAGGATTTCGAATAGATCTTGTCCTAGAGGTTCTTGAATACTTACAAGTCTCTGATTGTTCCAGTTTGAAACACTTAGCGCCTTCATCTGCAACATTTCATCACCTGACATATTTGGAGGTGGCAAATTGCAATGGATTGCTTCACTTAATTACCTTATCAACTGCAAGAAGCCTGGTCAAATTAAGAGCAATGAAAATAGCGAAGTGCAATTCACTTGAGCAAGTTGTGGCAGAAGAGAGGGAGGGGCCTGACGATGAAATTGCATTCAGTAGCTTAGAGTTTTTGGAGCTAGAGAGCTTGCCAATGATCAAGAGGTTTTGCTCCTCCGATTGCTACTTAAACTTTCCGTTGTTAAAAGAAGTTGTCATTGGGCAATGCCCAAGAATGGACACCTTCTCAGCTGGGAGAGACACAAGCACACCAAAGCTTCGAAAGATATCATCAAAAGAAGAAGATGGAAGCGCGTATTGGGAAGGTGATTTGAATAAGACAATAAGCAATATGTTTGCGGACAAGGTATGCTTTGATTTCACTAGAAAATCATTCTTTATTCCCCTACGATGACAAAATGGTATAAACAAACTGTCAGAAATTGTTTATGTAAAAAAGAAAAATGATTGTGAAAATATCTTTTTGTTGTAAATATTTATTTTCATGATTGTATAGCTTTTATTAGCCTTTATTATTCACTCGTCCTTTTTCTCGGCGTATCTGTTTGGATATATCTTAACTTTTAGATGAATTGAAAAATACAAATTTCTCATGAAGTCCAGAATCATATATTGGTGCCATCGCGGTAAAAGCATGAACGAAATAAAGATGAGGCTGTGTTTAGTTTTGAATTAGATATTTTTATAATTTTTGTTTCTGCCAACATAATTGTGAGTTAATACTTTGATTGAATAGTATTAATTGTATTAACTGAAAGTAACAAAATTTTATTGTTTAATTTGATTCGGTGCCCTTACCTTGATAATTATTTGCACAGGTGGCATTTAGTGGCTTCAATCTTTTGGAATTTTCTGTATATCCAGAACTGAAAGAACTATGGTATGGCCAAGATGGGCCAAATATATTCCGCAATTTGAAGCATCTAGTGGTGCGAAAATGTAACTTCTTGTCCAACGTGATTTTTTCATCAAATTTACTGCGATTGATATATGCATTAGAGGAACTGGAAGTATCAGAGTGTGATTCATTAGAAGTGGTATTTGATGTAAATGCATTGGATGAGAATGCAAAAGAATCAAAGGAAGTTAGTCGGTTGAAGAAATTAACACTCTCGGGGCTTCCAAATTTGAAATGCATATGGAGCAGAGAAGCAGGGGAAATAATCAGCTTTGAAAATTTACAGATGGTGAAAGTTGATAAATGCCAACACCTGAAATGTTTGTTTTCGGTCTCACTATGCCAAGATTTGAGGCGACTTGAAGAGCTTCACATTGAGTCTTGTGGTGCTGAGGAAATTGTTTCAATTGCAGAAGGATTAGAGGAACTCAAGTTTGATTTTCCTCGGTTAACAACCTTGAGCCTATTGAATCTGACACAGCTCACTAATTTCTATCCAAAAAGATATACTCTAGAGTGTCCTTCGTTGAAGTGGTTAAATGTTCGTGGATGTGAAGAATTGCAAATATTTGCATTTGACCATTTGAATTCCCAACCGCTTAAGGGGGGTGACAATGAGTCGAAAATTGAGCAAGCTTTGTTTTATATTGAAAAGGTATGCATCCTTTTTTTTTCTATAATTTCTTCTATCTGTGTTTAATTACATTTTTTTTTCTCTAGACAAAAAGATGCATGGCTGAGGAAAACTATAATTACGCATGTGGTTTGTAAAAGTATAAAAAAATGTTTTATGTTCACTTATTAGTAGATTATATGATGAAAGAAACAAATAATATTTTCTCTTTTTCAGGTGTCTCAAAATTTGGAGGAGTTGCCATTAAATGAAAAGGACACTTTGAGGTTATTGAATGGCAACTATGAGAAAAATCTCTTTAAGAGCATCAAATGGCTTCGTTTGCAATATTTTCAGGGAACTCCAATAAAGTTTCTGAATGATTTAATCCAAATGTTTCCAGCTATAAACACACTACAAGTGCGTTGCAGTTCTTTTGAAACACTCTTTCATTCGGGAGAGATTAATCATTGTTGTGTTGGAAGCCCCACCCAAATTAAAATGTTGTTGCTATTTCAATTGGAGAAGCTTGAGCATATATGGAATGATGATGACTCAGCATCGCATCCCCTAGTTCAAAACCTTGAAGCCCTAAGTATTAGGGAATGTTCTAAGTTAAGAAGGATAGCACCACCTTCGACATCTTTTGCAAGTTTAACCGCCTTGAAGGTAGAGGATTGCAATGGCTTGATGTACTTCATGACACCTTTCATGGCTAAAAGTCTCGTCCACCTCACAAGCTTAACAGTTAACAATTGTGGAACGCTAGAGGAGGTTGTGATGACTAGTGAAGGACGATCAGGGAAGAAATCATATTTGAAAGCTTGGAGTATTTGACACTAACTTGTTTATCAAGTTTCAAAAGCTTTTGCTCTGGAAAACACACCTTCATATTCCCCTCTTTGTTGATGTTGGACGTGATAGGATGCCCCAAAATGCAAAATTTCTCGTCTGGAATCATTATTGCCCCATTTCTAAAATCAGTGACAGTGGAAAATGGGAAAAGACGCTGGAAAGAAGACCTTAACACCACTATCCACCAATTGTTCACAGAGGTATGTATGCTACAAAATAAATTCTGAGATGATTGACAGTGACACTCCTAATATCATGTATGTGTCTCAAGCTCCATTTGTAAAATCTAAAGAACTAAATTTAGACAATATTTTGCTGCAGCAACATATGATTGACTGAAAAAATATGTAAAACTTAAACACAGTCAAATGAAAACTTAAATATGGGTAAAAATATTGAATGTAAATGTGCGTTGCCGTCAAGATATAATATCTTGTGTGCCTACTTAATCAGGCAACTCGAGAAGGAGATCAAGGGAACTATAAGGAATCTTCAAGTGATATTACCAAAAGTAGTCAAACTCATCAAATGAGTGCCAGTACTACCACAGCATCAAGCTCTGGGGAGCAAGTAGGACAATGGAAGCCTAATCAAATTGCAGACACTGGGAAGCAAGAAACACAAAAACTTCCAAGTCAATCTTATGACAAAGAGCTGAATGAGCAAGCCTCGTCAGGTACTGAGAGGCCTTTGGCTCCGGTTACTCAAATTGCCTCCAGCCCTTCTACAAATCAAGAAAAAGGTATTGAGATTGCCTTGCAATCTGCTATTTGCCATAAATAATCACATGTTTCTTTGACTTTGGCCTTAATTTCTTTTACAGGTTTGAGTGTCTTAGGTATTTATCACTATCACTATCCTTTGGTATATTTAATGACTGATTCCTTTTGTTCAATAGAGTGCTTAGTGACACTTTGTTATCATATTCATTGGCTTGATTAATGTTTTTTTTTTTGTGAGATACTTCGCATTCTGATTTTTATAATCCGAAATCATCTAAAACAATTGACACTACTAGAAAACTTCTGAAGATGCCAAATCGTTTAATTAAATGACCACCTTTAGTATTAGCCACAGAGAACATACATAAATAATTTCTTTCACGTGTAAGAAGGAAGGAATTTATTAATTATTTTATCTACAACCTCATGCCATTCTACATTAAATTTCTCACTAATCTGAGAGGAGCTTTGTTTAGGTTCCTTGAAACAAAGCTCTACGTTTTTTTAATTAATTATTGATTCTAATATGCTATGATGGGAATTAAAAACTAATAGAAGAATCACAAGACTCAAAGACTCAATCTAGCAAGAATCTATTCGAGCAAGCCACAACTGTCAACGATAAAGAAAGTAATGTTTTTCTTTCTTCCTCTTCTTTTGGTTTTATTTTTCTTCAGTGTTTAGATGTAAGATATTTTTTTATTTTGTTAAAACGTTATATCATTCTATTTACTCTCAATTTTTTAAAACTAACAGGTTTAACTAAGGGGACTGAAGAGATGGGCGAGAACATTGAAAGGCCATTGGTTGAAGCTGCTAAAAGTGCTCTTAGCCCCACAGGAGCTTGTGATGCAGGTACTGATATTATTTTAACATGTGAAATAGGGTAATGCATGTCCATTATAGTACTTGGCTTATTAATTTTTTCTGACTTTCTTTTATGCGAATTGAAATATATTAGAGGAATTACAAGGCTCAAAAATTCGTCCACGTTAAAATTTGATCATCCGGACCACAATACCTATATTGTAATTGAAATATCATCACTCTGCTTTGGTACATTCCATGACCTTCTTTCTTCTGCAGAAAGTTCAACCACACATTTTTATTGCACTGATCATATAGGCATAGTTCATTTGGAGAAATTATCCTTACTTGCTATCATGGGAAATAAAATCAACTACAGAAGAATCACTAACTTAAAATTTCCCATTTCTGAGAATTTTCTTAATCAGATCTTCACCACCATTGTTATCGCTCTTGTTAGAGGGAAGGAAATTATTTTTATTTTGTTAAAACCTCATGTCAAATAATTTGTATTATAGTATTAGTATTTTTTATTTATTCACTTAGTATTAAGACTCAACAGATATACATGCAATGTCACCAAAAGACCATTGGTTATAACTATTAGAGGAACCAATTTCTACTGCATTTCAGGATCCATGGGTTGACCTTGTTGTAGTACTCATTTTCATAATTAATGTTTCTAACTTCTTATCATGTGAGAAATCGTTTGAAAATATCATGTGACTTGGAAATTTGGCATCCTATAACTTCGTCCACCCAGGCCTCATGTATGTCCTTGCTTTTTTTTTTTTTTTTTAATTCTGTATTCTTTTGCCTAATTAACTACCATAACCTTATATCGTGCCAAATATACCAGAGAAAAAGCCTTCAAATGACTACTCGTCTTTTAAATTTTAGAAGCTTTTTTTTCCCTTTACAATACCTTGCGTTATTTTGTTTGCTAAGCTTATTTGTTTGGCTTTTTGACTCCAGAGGTGAATGAGACTACCGAGAAACCCTTAACTCAAGCTGCGCAGGAAGGACAGAGACCAGCTGTAGTACAGGACATAGGTCCTAATACTGTTTTGATGGATCTTGATCTAATACTCTTGCTTAATTAATTCTTTATTTTGAATTTCTGTCATGTTAACTGAAATTTGCTAGAAGAATCACAGGAGTAAAAAACTAGTTCTAGAAAAAATTTGTTCAACCTACCCAAAACTTTTGTGACTAGTGACAAAAAAAAAGTAACGGATTTATTTCTCTTCAGAAAGAAGTAATTTATTTTTATTTTGAAAAAAACTCTTTTCTCATAAATTTTTTGTTGTTGTTTTTTTAGCTGTTGGAACTCAAGAGATTGATGACACCATGGACAAATCCTTGATTCAAACTGACCAAGATGCAGAGAAACTTGCCACAACACAAAATACAGGTTCTTATCCTGTTTTGTATCTTTTTCTTTTTTGGGTATTATTCTTTGGATGAACTAACAAGTCTGTTATCATGTTAATAAAAATGTACCAGAAGAATTACATGATTCATATATTGAGACTCAAAAGATATGCGATACTATTCAGAAGTCTTCAATTCCAGCTTCTCAAAATGTTCCAAGCTCAACCATGATTCATGAAGCAGGTATTGATTTGCAAGCTCCGATCAATTTGAAATGAATTGATAGGGAAAGAACTGCAATTTTCGCAGGACTTTTTCATTTTCTCAAAACGTGCCTCAAACTTTTTTTTGCCCCTCCTTGCTTGTTGATTCAGCTCTTGATCCATCACCTTCACAAGCTTCAGAACCTATGATTTCATCAATAGAGAAATCGAACATTTATAGAAGCTACAAGGGAATGATTGACATTCCTGAAAAACGCATGCCATATTTGGAGGCTGGCGTGAGGCGGCATCCTCAGGTGCTTGATTGGCTCAACACAAAGCGACGCAGAGTGTTTGCTTCCTCTTTCTTTTCCTTATTTGCTGAGGTGACTCATATCTTGAGGACCACTCGAAGAGTGGACTTGGCCGAAGATGATCGAAACTACATCAGAGAATGCTGCACAGCGTTGCAAGGGGTTGGCTTTGATGATTCCTGGATCAGTTACGTGCATGGCTGCATTGACGAATGTGAAGATGGAGAAGACCTCAAGAGGAAGGTTAAGGAGGCTGAAGATCATGCTTCAAATTTGAAAGCTCAGCTTGAGTCCATCAACAAGGAGTTATCTTCGGTGGAGGAATCCTTAGTGTTGTTGCGTAACAGGTCCAGTAGGCTGCATGATCTCATTGAGTCCTGAAGTTTGTGGATTCTCTTGGACATTTACTTGCTTTGACTTTTTCAGTATATATTTACTTCTGTATATTCATTTATAGTTTGTCTAATGTACATTATAAGTAATGCGTCATGTTGGATCCAATGAACTTGATCGTTCTGCATGTTACTTGCAATATTGAAGGAACGTGATCATAAAGACATTGTTCATGGTAGCATCAGTGACGTTGTTCTCTCTTGTGTTTTTGTTTCTGAGTTCCCTTGTTCAATGTAAACAAAACAGGATTTGTTTGTCTTCTGCTAGCGTCTTTTGGAGCAGAATGGATTCGTGTTTCATCAATACATTGATAAATGTGTTATCTACCATCTTAATCCTCATCATATTATATGTTTATCAGAATAAAAACTGATATTTGGAGAAGGCATAGTGTTATCGAAAATTCGATGAAAAACAGAACAAAGCAGAGCAGTAGATAAGTTACAAGATATAAGCCGATCAAATTGTCAATGCCAGCTTTCAAGTCTATTTACCACGCCAACTCTCGTTTTGTTGGCTTGCGTTGTAAATATAGACAGCTAATTGGTACATTCAGGAGATTCATATTAAAAAGTTCTAACCTTTTTCTTTCTTCTTCGAAAAATTTAAGCCAAAGGAGATTTTTTAATTGCATGTGAAACCTGCTCGCTATTTGTGAAAGAGAGTTCAAATTTAGTGCCTATTTAAGTTCAGCTTCAAATAAATTATAAGAGTTAGAAGTCAATACTTAGCTCTTTAACCTTATAAAAGGTCTTAAATGGTTATTTTTTAAAAAATTAAACTTAATATATTAGTATTTTAGACTTTTTATTAAGATTCAATATCTCAATATCATCATTTTTTGTTAACAGTTTTTAGACTAAAAGATTAAAAATATACTTTTTTAAAGTCAAGGAACCAAATCAAAATTTTATCTAAATTAAAACTTAAAAGACTAAAAATATATTTTAACCTTTAAAAAAAAATCCAAATCCCTTCTACACACGTCAAAATAAATTAAAAATCCAAAAACATAATTATTTCATAAGCTATCAAACAGTCCCTATACATGCTAAAATTAATTTCAAACATATATCTCGTAAACTATTATTGCTTTTCAATTATACTCAGAAATCAATCTTATAATCAATTTTATAAATTCACTGCAACTAAATTCTGTTTTTTCAACTCAAACCCAAACACACCCTTAAGTTTTCTCAATGACTAGTACATAATAAAAAACTGAATAAATCAGCATCTCTTAAAAAGCAATTAAAATTTATTATCACTTCTGAATGGTGATAACTTCTATTCAAAGAATGTTTCAATTTTTAAATCTTAATCTGATATAAACTATATTTCTTGTC